CAGGCGCGCCTGGAGAAGCGGCTGCCGGCGCGGAGCCCGCCCGGTGGTGCGGACGCTCTGCTGGGTCCCCGCGATCGAAAGCGCGCCGGAGCCGGCAGGAGAGGAGGCGAAGAGCAGAAAGGAGAGAACAATGAGGCGCAGGAAGAGCCGCTCTTCCTATCCCTGGCCTCCCTCCGCCCGCCACACGCCGCCGCTTCTCTCCTCGGTTTCCCTGGAACTCTCTCTCTCTCTCTCTCTCTCTCTTTCTTTCTTTCTTTCTTTCTTTCTTCCTTCCTTCCATCCTTCCATCCTTCCATCCTTCCATCCTTCCATCCTGTCCACCCACTAGGTCTCTACAGTATCTCTCTGTTTTTAACCCCTTCGGCCTCTTCCATTCTCAATTTGCAAAATCAACCAAGGGATTCTGCACCCCTTCGGAGATGGTTGGAGGGCCGGGCAGCTTCCTCGCCTCCCTTTTTCACTGGGTCGCTGGCCTTCCTCTCCAAAGCCCCCACCCCTCTCTGGCAGGGCTCCTGCTCAGCTTCGCTTCCTCTGCCTGCCTGCCTGCCTCTTCTCCCTCTGAGTTTTGGGTTCCACCCGGGGTAAACTTGTTTTTTTTAAATTATTCGCTGCTGGGATTTCTTTAGAGCTGGCTTGCCTCAGGGAGAGCCTGAGGCCGGGTCCCTTTCTCCTCCTCACAAGGGCTCTGCAGGCTGCATGAGAAGAGGTCCCAGGACCTTACTTGTCCGAGATGTGGGGGCTCCCTAAATCTGGGAGGTCGCAGGTTGGAGATGCTGGGAGCCACTGTCCAGGAAGTTCTGTTCCTGAAGTCTGAGAGTGTGTGTGACAGGCTGAAGGTCAAACCAGGATTTGAACCCAGGTCCCTGGATTCCTAGACCAGCACTCCACCACAATGGTTCCCCAGTCTGGACTCAGATCTTCTGGAAGCAGGAGTTGACTTTTTCCTCTCTAAACTCCCATATTTCTTGATGTTGCTGCTTCCAGGCCCTGAATGCTTTACCCCTTCCACTTCCTAGCCTTCTGCATTTAAATCTTCTTCCTATTCTTTCCTCATCTCCCAGATTCTCATTATCCTTCCCTCATAAGTTTGGTGGGACAGTAGATTTGGGCCACACACAACCATGATCCATCATGAACCTGTGGAACTCTCCTCCACAAGATTTAGAAGTGATGGCTCTGGCTTTATGGCTGGAAAAGGAAACAAAGATTTGTGAGGGGGAAAGAGATTCCAACCAGCGGGTGTTAGCCCTGATGGCCAGATTGAGCCCCCACTGTCCACCACGGTATACTTCCTTGGAATTTACTGTCAGAGGAGGGTGTACCCCTCCTTTTCATTTTGGGGGGGCTTCTGAAAGACCCCCGCTTAAGGAGCATGGGAAACAGGATATTGCATTAGATTGAACTCTTTTTTTCAATTTTACTTATTTTTATTTTATTCTGTTTGCCCCATTTTGTCACTTTTGCCTCTCCGTATTCTGATTGTTGCCAACAGTCTCGTGCAGTCACAAGAATACCGCTTAGCTTTTTCCATCCCTTCGGTTGTGGTTACACATGCAAAGTTTTAAACACAAACCAACCGCCATCCCTTCCATGTAGGAACATTACGGATGCCAGGTGTGGGTGCAGTGCAGGAAGCCCAAAACGGCCTTTGCTGCCGTGACGTCTTTGAAATACACGGGAACGACCCAGCCAAGGAAAAGTTAAGACTTTCTCATAGATGTGGGAAAACACCTGCACTCCCACACCCTCTCTGTTTCTGTGGCTGCTTGATTTGGCCTGTCCCTTAGGGATTGGTGCCGAGGCACCCGTACGATTTTGTCAGTTTCCAGACTTCATTCCATCTCAGTGGGGGAGAAGAAGCCTGAACCCACAAACCAACCCCTGTGAAGCAGGCGGGGAAGGCTTGACGACACTTTTAGCAAACTCACAGTGAGATCTGTGTGCGTTCGCTCAGAAGGAAGGGCACACCAAGTGCACATGGAATGATCTCTGCTTAATTCCATTTATATCTGAAATCCTTGGTCCATAGATGTAGTGTGGATGAGTGCAGGAGATCATTGAATCCTAGAATAGTGAAGTTGGAAGGAGCCCATAAAGGCTGTCAAGCGCCTTCTCTCTTCTCAGACCACAGTTTGGTTCAAGGTCAGTCGCTCCCTTCCAGGGGAACTGCTCCAGGGGAAGACCTCTGGATGCAGGAATCTGAAGCGTGCAGGACCCGCACCCACCCACTCATTGCTATGAATAGTGTAGAAAAGGATGGAGCAGGGTTGGATCTCCCTCCTCCTGGCTGTGATCCAGGCTGAGGGGTCCCTCTGCTTTTCAAGAAAGCTTTGGAGGCGAGGAGAACCCAAGGAGAGATCCTGGTGTTAACTTGTAGTTTGACCCTGAATCTCTTACACAGAGACTCGAGGGAGCGTCTGCTTTTAGGCAACAGGGCCTGAGGCTGCCTTTGGCTCAGTGCTTTATTTTTCCTTTCCTTCCGGCTTTGCCAAACTCACAGACACTGGTTTTGCATCTCTTTAGCTGCTCCTGCAGCTTCCGAAGCAGGATGACGAACCCCATGGCCTTCCAGACAGTGCTGAATTCCAGCTCCCATCATCCCCCACGGCGGGTGCGGCTAGCTAAGACTGAGGGCCAGTGCCACCCAAAAACATCTGGAAAGCTGTCCCTGCCTCACTACGGCTGTAACAGAAAAGCCCTCTATTGCCTCTTTAAAACCATTTTTCCAGAAGTTTTCATTCTCTCTCTCCATTTCTCTCTCTCTCTCTCTTTTAAAATTGCTTCCAGAAAAAGTGTTGCATTAGATTAAACCGGGGACATAGACATGCCTTCAGCCTTTTTTTTTTTTTGCACATCTGGTTTGCAGCCTTTGGAAAGTTACTTTTCCAAGGGTCTGTTACAGCACTTGAGAAATCATTTGTTCTCATTGTTCCCTGCGGTGTATTGAAAAGTAATTCATCGTCTTATTCTTCGCCTTGATAATAACTTTCTGTTCTTTGCTGTTGTTTACTTCGGAGGATTCAAGTGAGGCATAAAGCTTGAAAAATTCATAACAAAATCTCTTTAAAGGGCATTTAAAGGATCTTTAGAAGCTTTTGATATGAATTTTGCTGTGAATTGCTTTTTAAAATCTTCTGAAGATGCTTTAAATGATCTTTAAAAGTATCTTTGAAACGTGAATCATTTCAAGGGACTTTCCATTTACGTTTTTAAAAATGCAATTTACTTTGCCTTCTCCATCCAAAATAAAGAGAGAGACACCATGTCTCTGTTTTTCTTTAGGTGACCACGTTGTTTCCAGTAGGTTGTTTCTGATCTCTGTTTCTAATGTAATAATACCCTGCCAACATCAGTGGCACTAAGTCCTGGGTTCAAATCCCTGATATTTCTGATGAACAAGATGACAGCAAAGAGTCTAAATAATAACTTCCCAGTACTAGGCCAGAATGACTGTTGGTCTGAGCCAGTGGAAGCCAGTGACTCCAGTTTCATGGGGGCAGTGATCCTGTTCCAGGTTTTGAAATTTAAAGGAGCTGTCCAGGGTACTGAACCTCATAGGTAAAGCCCAAGTGGATTCTTCTGCCCCTCTTTGAGGCATCTGTCTTTCTAGTCCTCTGCAGGGGGCTCTTCTACTGCAGTGCCACCCCAAGCAAATTGTTTGAAGGCCTTGTTCTTCCCATAAGAGGACCTGCACCCCTTCCTCACCACCTTCTTTTGCGTCTCCCCCAGCAGGTGCCGGCTGCTATCATGACTGATGGCGAGAGGAGAGAACCCTTCCAGCCACTGGCGCACGACGAGGTATGGGTGCCCATAGCCTCTGGCCCAGCCACCGGACAAACGTTCCAGCTTCAAGGGGAGGAGGAGGAGAAAGAGGAGGATGCCCTCAGTGCTTGCAAATCCATCCAGGACAGCCTGGCTTCGGCGGGATCATCCACCCGGGATCCAGCCCATGACGGAGAGAACCAGGTCCCTTACCCGGCGTTGGCCTCCACCGTCTTCTTCTGCCTTGACCAGACTACCCGACCACGCAGCTGGTGTCTTCGGCTGGTCTGTAACCCATATCCTTGACTTTTCTCTGCCGGTTGGTCTCAGTTTTGCTTCTTTTTCTCTTGCGGCCTTTTAAGATTCCTTCGGCGCTGTTGACTGGCTTTGTGGTGGACGGAGGACGCCTTCTGCTAGGTAGAGATGTTTAGCTGGTGGCCACATCTCAACATACTTCAGCTTGATGGGTTTTGCCTTCATCTTGTGGTAGGTCAGACTTAGCTTTCTGAATCCAGAAGATGGTAAGAAGGAAGGGGAAAACAGGTTTACTTTAAGTGTCTCAGAAGCTGAGAGGTTCAGATTGGAGGAAAACTGTGTGATGTTGTGGTAGGAGAACTTGGAGAACGTGGCCTTCTTGACCAAGCACTGTTTAACTCTACTAGTGTCCTATCAAGATGCTCTTGGATTGGGTGCAACCTTTTTTTTTTTGTCGTGGCAAAACTGGTTGTTTCTTTGTGGTCTTCTGACATCTGGGCTGTTGTTTTGTGATTCTGATTTGGAGATGATGGTCAATGCGCCTATCAGAGAAGATTCTTGCTACTGTTCATAAGATACCACAGGATTCTGGGTTTTCATACACGTTGTGTCTCTGTTAATCTGGATTAACAACACACCACTGAATGTCTTGATTCTCTCTGAGTGGGTATCTTTGCAGTAATTTTTTTTTTTCCAAAATCAAGAGCTAATGTTTCTTTTGAAAATCTGTGGGGTTTTTTCCTCCTCCTTGTGTAAGTTCTTTGTGGGTTTGTTGTTTTCCCCTTGGGGTGTATGTATCCTTTACTACTAAGGAAAAACGGATATGTGTAGCCCCCCCCCCAGGGATGGGATCTGTAATCCAACACATATGGGGGGGGACATAAGGTGTGTGTGGTGTCAATAGTGGTACTTTATGCACATGGAGGGCAGTCTGGGTATAGGATGGGGGAAGCCAACCGCGGTTCCATGTGGCGCTCAGCAGCTTCTTGAGCAGCTTCAAAGCGGGCAGGATACGGCCCTCTTTTTCTCACAGTTCAGCTGGTAGACCTGCTTTGAGGGATGAGAGAGCCCTGGGTACGTTCATGTGTGGCGAGGAAAATACCATGTATGCTTAACGTGTGGGTGTCGTTCCTCTGCTGAGACTGGATGTGAGAAGGTCATGCACCCAAGGGCTGGTTGGATCAACACCGCGCATCGTTTGTGATTCCCTATATCTCTGGTACCAGTGTGAGCAGCTGTAGCCTTCCAGATGTTTGGGGAGTTGAACCATTTGGCTTGGTTTAATTAGGGATGATAGGAGTAAGAGATGGAAAATACGTAGCTTGCCCATTTCAGTCCATCACGTCTCCATCCGTTAACATCTTGGCTCACTCTAAGCTGCAAAGGTCTGCAAGAGGTTTCGATTCCTGGGAAGGGTGAATCCTGTCTATAATGATCCTGCAACAAGGCGTGACCACATACCTATTCACGACACTCACAGCATCGGCTGGGGGAAGCTGCTAGAGATTCCAGATGTCAGGTGGCAGAACGTGGAAGGAGACCCACCCGCCCACTCACTAGGTCAGGGGGGAGACAGACGCAGAAGCCAGTGTTTGGGGGCCAGGAGGCACATCCGGCCATCTCCTGGGTGTTCTGGACTTGCCATTCCCAGAGCTGGTTGGGGCAGCTAGTGGTTACAGCCTGCAGGAAGTTGTAATCCCCAAGCATGGTGTGTGTGAGAGAGAGAGTGAGAGAGAGAAAGGGAATGGGGCAGAAGGTTGTCAGTTTGTGCTTTGAACCACCTGAAGTTGTTAGTGATGGGGTGCAAAGGGTCGGCAAAAAAGTGGAACAGAGAAAGACCTGCCTGGGGCAGAAGGTTGTCAGTTTGTGTTTTGAGCCACCTGAAGTTGTTAGCGATGGGGTGCAAAGGGTCAGCAAAAAAGTGGAACAGAGAAAGACCTGCCCGCTGGGTCACCTTCCACGCCACCCTTTTTTGGCCCCCCAGCCCAACCAGAGCAAAAGCTGAGAGGGGATGGGTCGCTTTGGGGGTTTACGTAAGAGGGCTTAGAAGAGGCCGGCTGGTTTGTGGGCTAGAAGAAAGAGAAAGAAGCACACAGTTAAAGAGAGAGAGAGGTATTGGCGGGGGGGGGGGGGGAAGAGAGATTATCTTTTTGACTGAGATCCCAGCTGCATTAGGCTGTTTTCCATCCACAACAGCGTGGTTGCATGAAGACAGAAGCCTGGCACATAATCATCCACCACGCTCCCCGACTATTTGAGGCCACGTGTGTTTCAAGAGACCCCAAATATCAGGTGGTTTTTTTGGAGACAGGAAGGCCCCCACCCACCCAAAACAACCTGGATTCCCAACTGGAATGGCAGTGCCCATGGATGATCCGTTTAATCTGGGAATTTGTTTTGATTGCAGAACAGCTGCTGCCAAGAACAGGACTTGGGGGTGGCTCTGTGGGCGAGCTGTCATGGACCCCAGGGTCTCTCTCTTCCCCGCTTTCCCCCTCCCTCTCTGGATTCCTGTCACATGGGGAGGAGAAGGTGTTTGTCAGACATCTCTGGGGAGGCCTGACTCTCTCTAGGGGGGGGGCTAGTGGTGGTTCTGATGGGCTGCCTTGTCATCTCTCTGGGGAGCTTCGGACCATCTAGAATCGGCATCAGCCCATCTGCCAAGGAGCAGCCAGAGGCAGAGAAGTGGGTTCCCCCAGTCCTGCAGTGGCCATGACCAATGGCCAAGTGGATGGGTGGGGGGATTCTGGGTTCTGTAGTACCAAAGTGACTTTTCCCCAAGCCGTGGTTAAATATGAATGAATGAATGAATGAATGAATGAATGAATGAATGAATGAATGAATGAATGAATGAGTGGAAGCCAATATCTGGGCATCCTTCCTCCAAGCTCCAGGGGCCTCTTGGCCTTCTCTTGTGTCATTCCCAAGTTTTGAAATGCCGAGGACAGTTCAGCAAACGTGTGCCCAAAAACCGTCATTCTCTCTCTCTTCCCCCTTTTCACGTACAGCCTGATCTGGAGCAGGAAGTTTCTGTTCCCATCTGGCTTGCTCAAAGGCAAAGGACCATGTTGGGTCCTTGCAATGGGGGTGGGCGAGAGATCCACGACCAGCTGTTCTAGGATGGGCCCTTTTTGTTCCCGGGACTTCCTTGGTGGCGTGTTACAGCTTGGGTGGTGCGTACACGAGGAGCAGAGGCTTGCACATCTGGGCACCAGTGGGTTTTTTGCTGGTATGTGTGTGGAGGAGAATGCAATCGGATGCCCGTGTCTTCTTGGGCAAGCTGCAGAGTCTTCCCAAAGGAAGGACCAGGCGTAAATGGTACCAAGGAAATCCCCAGGAAGGAGGAGCAGCACCTGTGACAATTGACTGGACAGCACGTTATATTATGGGGTGGATCCAACCTGATGTCCTGGGGAGGCAGTCTTACAGGGTGTCTGGGTGGCCTCTTTTGCAGAAGACAGTCCTCTATTTAAAAGTTTAGCAGGGGGTGGTCCTCTTTTTGAAGGGGTTTTCCATTTCAAAGGCTGCCCAGTCCAAGCCTGATTTAAAAATCTGCAAGAAGAAGGAAGATCAGGGACCCATCTTCCACAGTGAGCAGCACCAGGACACATGGGCTATTTGGTCACTGCCTTCCCCTCTCTTGGGAGGTGTAGCCTTTCTAAGGTGGCGTAAATCAGCATTTGCAGCCCTATGCCTGTCCAGGTCCACCTCCATCCTCTTGTCTGGCGATGAGCAAGCGGCCACACCCGACTGTTTCCCAGAACAGAGAACAGCTTTTGCTGGTCAACTTTGCCACGACCCCAAAGAGGCAAATCCAGCCTGGAGCATCTCGGCGATCCGGGACGTGCAGCTTCTGCGTCCTCCCTGCCTGGCCTTGGCAGCCTCTGTCCTGCCAGCAAGAGGCAGCCCATTATTTATTAAAATAGTGATGATCGATCTTGCTTGAGTTAAGCGGTGAAACCTGCGTGCGTGTTTGTAAAATCAGTTTCTCCCCTTGACTCCCTTGGCAAAGGAAAAAGGAGCCGTCTGCCCAGAGAGCAACGGGAAATACTCTCAAGAGAAAGTGCAGACGACGGTAGAACAGAGAGGAGGAAACTTTGACCGTTCTGTAGGTGCCACTGACCACCTGTTACTTCCAAATAGAGCTTGAAAACATGGTTTCAAACTACAGATTCTCTCTCAACACAAACACACACACAAAGCAGTCACAGAAGATTGGCCAAGTTTTTTTTATTTAAAAAAATGTGAGAAACCAATCCACTGCTTCTGAGGAATGGAAGTTAGTGTAACAGGGCAGCAGCTGTCCTAGCTCTGCTCAAAGGTCGTGTACATTTTGCGGTGGGCGCAAAGATCATTCTTGCTAATGCACCAACTCTTCCTGGTAGCACGGAGAAAATCTCACCCTCTTACAGGCAAGGAGAGAATTACAAACGAAGGTGCCTTATCCTCAAGCATGTGGATTTATGACTCTGCTCTGAAACTGTCGGCAGGCAGGCCGCACGTGTGAAAAGGATCCGCTGCTCTTTTTCTGCCACGTTAGCTGCCACCTCTTCATTCTTACGCAGCAGCGTTCCAGTTGCAAGGACTGAGAAAATCCCCAGCCGGAGATGTGATATCCATGCTTGCCATTCTTCCAGCGCTTCTGTACCGACGGCCTGGATTTCAGCTTTACGGCAGCTGCTTCCCTCCCCTTCCCCCTCCTCATGAGGAGACAGACCCGCCTCTCCTCCCCCCCCCTTCCTTGCCATGTGGTTTTTCCAATGAACGATGACGGTGGAGGGGATTGCAACAGACTGGAAAACGCAGACTGGAATTTCAGCTGCCGAGTCCGGAGCAGATCTCCCAGGTCTATATTTGTGCTTCTCCGGAGGGTGGAGGAGCGACCAAGCCCAAGAAGGGGGAAACCCCTCTCTCCGTTGTGCAAGGAGCTCGATGAGGAAAGGAGAGTTTTTGAAAACGCAATTTCTCTGCATGGGCGAGAAAAAGCCACCCCTGCGGAAATTTGTCCAAAGAAGCTTCCTCGTCATCTGCTCAACCTTCT